TATCTATCTATCTATCTATCTATCTATCTATCTATCTATCTATCTATTTCAATTTATTCACTTTGTATCATGGCTGTGGTCCCTTCCTCATCTCTTCCCAATCTTACCCTTCTTTCCTCTTCTATCACTATGCCCTTCTCCTAGTCCCCTGATAAGGGAGGACCTCCTCCCCTACTATCTGACCCTAATCTCTCAGGTCTCATCAGGGCTGGCTACATCATCTTTCTCTGTGGCCTGGCACGACTGTACCCCCCAGGGGAGGTGATCATAGAGCCTGCCACTGAGTTCATGTCAGAGACATCCCCTGCTCCTCTTACTAGAGAACCCACTTGGAGACTGAGTCTATGGGCTATATCTGAGCAGGTCCTCTCCATGCATGGACCTTGGTTGGGGTATCAGTCTCTGCAAGGTCCCCAGGGCCCACTTTCTTTTTTCTTTTCTTTTTTTGTTTCTCTGTTGGTCTCCTTTTTGAGCTCCTGTCACCTCCAGGTCTTTCTATGTAGTCATCAGGGAGATGCAAATCAAAATAACCCTGAGATTTTACCTTACACACTCATCAGAATGGCTAAGATCAAAAAGTCAAGTGACAACACATGTGGAGAGATTGTGGAGAAAGGGGAACTCTCCTCCATTGCTGGTGGGAATGTAAACTTGTACAACCACTTTGGAAATCAATCTGGCTCAATCTTAAAAAAATTAGAATAGTGCTACTTCAAGATCCAGCTATACCGCTCCTAGACATATATTCAAAATATGCTCAACAAGGACATTTACTTAACCATGTTCATAGCAGCTCTATTCGTAACAGCCAGAATCTGGAAACAACTTAGATGTCCCTCAATGGAGGAATGGATACAGAAATTGTGGTGCATTTACACAATGGAATACTACTCATCTATTAAAAACAAGGAAATCATGAAATTTTCAGGCAAATGGTGGGAACTAGAAAAGATCATCTTGAGTGAGGTACCCAGAAGCAGAAAGACACACATGGTATATACCCATAAGTATATACTATGAGTACTCATAAGTGGTTATTAGACATATAATATAGGGTAAATATACTAAAATCTGTACTGCTAAAGAAACTAAACAACAAGGAAGACCCTAGGGAAGATGCTCAATCCTCATTCAGAAAGGTAAATGCAGTAGACATCGGAAGCAGAAGAAGACAGAGCACACGACAGGAGCCTACCACAGACGGCCTGTGAAAGACTTTACTGATGGAGGTATCAAAGTAGAGGCTGAGAGTCAAAGCCAAACTTTGGGCAGAGTGCAGCAAATCTTATGAAAGAAGGGGAGATAGAAAGACCTGTAGGTGACAGGAGCTCCAAAAGGAGACCAAGAAAGCCAAAAAACAAAACAAAACAAAAACAAAGAACAACAACAACAACAAAACTGGGGTCTGGGGCCCCTGCATGGACTGATACCCAAACCAAGGACCATGCATGGAGAGGACATAAAGCCCCAGCCCAGATGTAGCCCATAGACTCAATCTCCAAGTGGGTTCCCTAATAAGCTTCTTTTATTACTAATAAAAAATTTAAAAATTAATGAAAAGTTTACATTAATGTACCACAATAAGAATTTTGAACAAATGACAATATAGATGAAAAAGTTCTAGAAATCATATAGGAAAGAAGTAGAAAGTTAAAATTATATGCTTTGGGTATTATCACAGTAGCACAGCAATGACTACTTTATTGTAAATTTCTGTGATTCAAGAGACAGAGAAAAACCTATAATACGGTTTCCATTGCTTCTTCACCTTTAAAAGAGAAATGATTTGAAATATTTAAAGTTTTAAAATTCTTTCTTGTTTTCCTCCTTGCAGTTCAATGGAAGGCACATGGGTCATTTGCTTTGGCTGTTCTAACAGTATTACAAGAACAGTGAAAATCTAAATGGCAGAGCAATTGCTGACAGAACCACAACTTTCTGGTCTCTTAAAATGGAGAAAAACAAGAAACAAACAAACAAACAAACAAAAAACAAAAAGGAATATCTGTCAGTTTAACTGTGAAAGGACAATATGAACATAGGTACTCCCAAGGGGAATTCACATGTGTCTTAGAGTTTTTAGTTTTTATTTAAACGTTTATTTAGTAAATGCTTTATGCTTTTCACATTAGATAATGTCAAAGAACAAGAATTTGTCATATGTCTACATAGTTCAAAGTTCTATCCTGGACCATGTAAGAGAAGGAAATGTTGTTAAATGTATTGTACTCCTTAGCAATCCTAGACAGTATGCGTTATTAGCCAATGGTACTTTAGTTTTTATAAATTTACATTTAATAAAGCAAAAATATGCTCTTATTATTAAATTTTTAAAAAATACACATAAAACTAAAATGAACAGTAGGCTTAAGTTAAAATTATGCCCTTAATATTTAACAGTGAAATAATTACTGTGCAAATATTGTAATTTGTTGTAATTAATTCCCTAGGTTTAAAGAAAGTACGTATGATTCTGTTTTCTGAGTCACCTGGAACATGGGTGATAATGCATCACGCCCCGAGCCCTTATGCAAATATACTCCCCTTGCATTATTCTTGTCAAGACATTATGAAAATAAGTGTAAACAACATTTGATTACAATATGCAAATTACTGTAATGCATATGATGACCTTTTAAATCCATTTTACAGAATACTACACCTTACACTGCTATTTATTTTAGCAAATCAGGGGTCTACAGACATGCTCTGAGTAATTATGTAACATTTATAGGAATTTTATAGCAATGAAGCAAGGGAAATAGCAGCAGGCTTGCCATAAACAAAATGAGAAACTTACCACAGTGGTTCCGAAACAGTTAAAAGCCTAAGAACATGATGGCACATGGAAGACCTGGAGAGTTGTCTTCTGTGTTCCTGAGGGCACTGACTCACCTTTGGGGAGCCTGTGGGGCTGCCACAGGGTGAGCGCACGATGCCTTTCTGAATGAGATCCAGGCGGGGAGGTACTGGGGGCAGGCTGAGGTGGGGGATCTGGAGTGGGTCTGGCTGAGGCTTTCTTCTCTGGGCAAGTGGGGAGGATCCTGGCGACGTGACTGGTGAGTTCTGCCTGTCAGTGCACTAGGAGAAAAGCAGAGAGCTTGCTGGGAATCTGTTTGTAAAGGGGACAGATTCCTGTCCTTGCTGGGGTGTACAGCAGGGCTGGCCTGCATACTTGTTAAAAGAAACACTGAATAATAGATCTGGAGGTCTCAACGTGGCCCTGGAGGGGAGGTTTATGAAAGGAACAGACTTAAAGTTTTTCCTCCCACATTGGAGGGAGGGCGTCAGATAAAAGCACATTGGAGTGCAGCACAATCTAATGGAGGCTTCCTTTCCACAATAGCTCGGTATCCTGGGAGGAGACCACAGTCACACAATGCAGCAGTGATCATCCCTCTGGGCTACCTCCGGAAAGAGACGATTTCTACACTGAACTTCTTTATTCCATACACCGTGCACTCACTGCATGTTGCTCATGGAAAACCCCGGGATCAGGTCAGCCTTAAAAGAACTAGACATGCAAAATACACACATTTAGAGCAAACATTTTCTCTTTTCTTAAGCTGTCATATGAAAAAGAAATGCTCTGGGTGAAAGAAGAGCTCCTTTACGGGCCGTTCGGCAAATCCCGGAAGGTCTGCACTTGTGCCGTCAGCAGTCAAGATCCTATGCTGCCTCAAGTCTCCATCTTCTCTGGGAGTCACTGCACAGGCTACACGAAGGGGCTGGGGAATTAGATCCCCTTTGCAAAGCACTGACGAAGATCAATTGAGGGGCCACGAGGTAAGCAGCCAAAGGTACGGTACTATTACATATAGGAGTTCCCTGTCCTCCCCTAAGTTCAACAGAGCTAGTCAAAGAGGCCAGGATATGACAGCAGTGTGTCTACAGATGGGTACAGAATGTGGAGTAATATTCAGGGGTAAAGAAGAATGACTTACTGAATCTGGGCTCACATACACGGAAGCTCCTACTATCCAAGACAGGCAGTAAAAGACAGATGCTGTAACACATTCTCTATGTGAAAGTGAAAATAGCTCATCCCCAGGAGAGCAGAATAGTGGGCCCTAGAGGGTAGGAAGGGGAGGTAGAAGGGTGTTTGGTAATGGATATGAAAATGTATCTAATAGTATGAGTTCATTTTAGCAGGCCATAGGACAGGGCAGAGGATAGCTACTGTCTGAAATGGCCTCACAATGACTTAATGAAGCAGAGGGCCACGGGCTGCCCGCCAAGGAGATGTCAGGAACTGGTAACACACCGGGGCTAGGCAGCTAGAAATTCATGTGCCAACCAAAGTTGTCATATTGAGGACAGTATGAAATAACATGTTAATTAAAAATGAATAGGAAAAAAGCTGCGTGGTACAGCCGATAAAGCCTGTGCATCTTTCTCCTACTGCTTATCTACAAGGTTTCACTTCAACCAAAATAAACAAACAAAAACACTCCTCTTAATATAGCTTCCTTAACAGTGTTCAAATAACCTTAAACATCACAAGAATAGATTAAGAGTATTGTGCTACACATATACGTTAAAACAGAAACACTTGGTGTATTATTTGCTCTTACTAACACTGATTAATATAAAACTGAATTTAGAACTTACTTTTCTATGATTATTTAGTTTTTTGCGACAGAGTCTAAAAGACAGAAATCTCTAATTATAATGTTAAAGTAGTTTAGGAGTTCATGTTTAGAAGTATGCACATGGAACAGCTCTTGTTGATCAATAATATTTTACTGGATATGGTGAGAGTTTCCACACATCTTTTCAATTTTCTATTTATTTCATGTGTTAGCTCTCCAATGTAGACAATATACTTTCACTCTGTAAACTCTGAATTAATCCCTACAAATAGGTATTGATGGTTGTTATTTACCAAAGCTGTCTGCTCTATACTGGTTAGGAATATGCCAAGAGAATTTAGCAGCCATTAAAGACTATCTCAGAATACAGTCCTGAAGTCACCTTTGACGGAAATACTGGCATTTAATAATCATTCTGCTGCTGTGGGGACTTGTACTGAGCTCACTGTTTGCTATTATTAAGTTTGATATGATAAAGAACATTAGAATTTTTTTTTTTTTGAGACACTTTTCTCTGTGTATCGCTGCCTGTCCTGGAACTCATTCTGTAGACCAGGCTGGCCTTGAACTCACAGAAATCATCCTGCCTCTACCTCCTGAACTGCTGAGATTAAAGGAGTGCACCAGTGCCACCTGGCTAATATTAGACCTTCAAAGAAAGCTTATACAGCTTTTCCATTACAGTAGATGTAATAGAAGAACTCACTGAGAAATTAACTCATGTGTGTGGCACTAACACGCAGAATTTATTATAGGATAGCCAAAACCATTCACACCGGGGAGAATGGACCATTCTTTCAAGTTAAGGGAGGTTAGTAATATATCATTTCTTTATCATGATTCCAGGTCTGTGTTACATTTAATATTGTCCTTGCCCTCAGAACTTTGGGATAACCCATACTTTTTTGTTTCAGCTCCTTTTAGAATCCACAAGCCTTGATTTCTGTCTCCAGGATCACCTCATCACATTATGTGTCTAATGTGTGCCCTGTGTTGAGACATGGAGTTGTTGAGCACAACTTCTACAGGAGGGGGCTTAGGGACCCTAGCAATGTCAGAAACACAGTGGATTGTTTCACGTATTTATACCTACCAACTGTTCCCTAGTTATTTGCTTTAGCTACTCTTTATTTCTCTAACAACATCTGCTCTCTGTTTTATTACTTAAGAAACAATGCTAGTGGGTACCCTACAGAAAGTGGGATCCACATTTGTGACTTTAACAGAAAATCTTCACAGAACAAGTCAAAGATGAGAGACATTTAAAATTCCCTGCCTCTTGCTCAGCAATTGCTAATAATGAGGGAGGCCTCATCCCATTCTAGTCACTTTTCATTTTATCCACACCTTTAAAGAATGACTTTAGAAGAACCTTTAATAAGACCCATTATTATGGAAATGGCAAAACATCTGGTAAGGAGCTCAAGTCCAGGCATGTTATTATAAAAATGGAGCAGGAGAAAAGCTTCCAATACCTAATGAGAGTTCTAACAATACAGCGATAATCAAAGTCGTCTTATGATACTTCTAGCAAGATCTCTACTTAATGAATTTTTTATTTGAACAAGGGAGATGCTTGTATTATAATAAGGAGATGAGAAGAACTCGGAAAGTCAATATTTTTCTCTAAATGCATGAGAATTAATGAATAGTGGTAAATTTTTTAAGCACATAGAATAAAATAAAATATTCTATGTGTGTGTATTTTCTTTGCTTCCAACTGTTATTTTAGTCTTTATTTATTGCATTAATTTGTGAGCATAACTAAGAAGTGCAGAATGTTATTCAGAAGTTATACACAATGGCAATGTTTATATTCATACTCAAACATTCACACATGGTTTATGGTTTAAGCACAGGTAGCTAATGTTCTCTATTTTGAATTATCTCTAGCACTGGCCCCATTTAAATCATAAGCAAAAGGTCATATAAAGTACAAGGTATAAAATCTATATAGCCTTTCCCTCAGTTTCCACAGTCAAGCTCCCAGGGGCCTTAACCTGTAAAAACTTGAAAGAACTCGAAATGAGACATTTGGAAAAAACTCAAAATGAAACGAACAGTACGCATTCCTTGCTCTTCTCGGGAAGAACGGTGTGAGCGCTCTGTACCACACTAAGGACGGATAGTGAACTCACTGTGGAGTGAGGCCAGCTGGTTTCTTAGACACTTCGCTTCTGCTGGGTTAGACCACCATGAGCTTATAAAAAGAAGGTATTTAATCTGTGACTCATGGTTTCAGGGGGTAGTAAGGTCCATGACCAGTGTGGCAGGGTGTATGGCAGCAGGTAGGCATGGCGCTGGAACAACAGCTGAGAGCTCACATCTGAAATTGACAAACAAAAGGTGGAGACGGACAGACACTGGGGATGGTGTGGGCTTTTGAAACCTCCAAGTCCAACCTCAGTGATATACCTTCTCTAACAAGGCCACACTTCCTAATCCTTCCCAAAGAGTTTCACCAACTGAGGAGCAAACTTTTAAACATATGTGCCTGCAGGAGTCATTTTTACTCAAACCGATACAGGTAGTATCTGTGTTCCACTGGTAACTTCTGTCCATTTTCAGATTCCACATATTAGAAATAATAAAGAGGAGGAAAATGGTTATAAACTTATAAACGGAGAAAGAGTTAGGGGGATGGGTGACTTTACAGTCTGTCAGGGAAGCAGCCAACAAAATTGCCAGCAGGGTCTACTTTACAGTGATACAGAATGTGTCACACACAGCTGTAACCCCAAGGGCACATCTCTATTAAAGTAATAAACTCCGCTTCGCATGCAATGTGACCTGGCTCTCTTTCCAGTGCCTCTAGTAGAGGGGCATGAATAGCTGGTGTATGAACAGCTGCTACAATCTTTAAATTTCTTTGAAGTTTTACCTTTTACCTGAAACATTGCTGTGAATTTCACAACTTGATGCAAGTATGTGTATGATTTTAATTTAAATTTGTCACCCCCCCTCTTCCTGAAATGCATCCTTAACTCCTGTCGCAGAATGTAAATTTCTAGAAATAGGTTGTGTTGAGTGTGGTGGCTTCATATGCCCTTTGGTTCACTCAGCTGCATAAGCAATTTTGAGCAGGCAGGGAAGGGTGACATGTGACTCAGAAATAGTTCCACAGGAATGGCTGAGAAGCAAGAACACTCTGGGAATTAAAGGAATGAATTTCAGTCAGTGGAAAAATGCTTTCGCAGGAAACCCCTATTTCTCCCTGTATCAGGTAGGGTTTTACAAAGAACAAGCAATTACTATTTGGAGACTGTGGCTCTCCTCCCTAATGCAAAGAATTCTTTATTTTTAAATGTACTTCCAATACAGAAAATCAGAGTAGCACATGCTTCCCTAAATTCCTTAATCCTTAGAAGAGTATTTAGGCTAACAGCTTGGCAGCTTCACATTTTCTCTGAGTTTTAAAACATGAAACAGGCTTCACTAGTAAATTATTTTAATGTAGTCATGTACTAAAGGAATAATGCAGTATTACCA